CCTGAAGTCCAAGCATTTCTCAGAGCCCTGTGCCCCAGGCCTCTGCTGGCAAGGAGTGCAGCACTCAGTCCTAAGACCCTGACTCTGACCCCAGAACTCAGAGAGTAAAGTGGGAAGCAGGAGAGGATGGGACACTGACTAGCCTACCAGCCTTGAGAAACTCTTGAGAAGCACCCCAGCCTCTCACTTGGGTACCTCTCACCCCTACCTCAGAAGTCCTGGCCTGAGGTGGGAAATAGCAACTATGTCCCCACTAAAGCACAGTGGCTGCTCTCAAACACAGCTACTTAGAAAACCAAAAGCTTCCTTACATGTGATGGCAGTTGGTCTTTATGCTAAGTTGTGACATCAGCAAGAGGCCACTTTGACTTAACTGAGTCCAAAACACCAGTACGTGGATTGTTTTGGGTGTAGAGAAACTCTGCAAGCAAAAAAGCACTCCAAGAGTGGACTAGGGGCGGGAGGAGAGTCTACGTCCTGATGCACAGGTGTCCTTGTTTCCATGGTAACACTGGACACTAGAAAAAAGGCCCAGCACAAGGAAGGCTCCTTCCTGGATCTCTTCACTGTGGCTCCACATTCCAGAGATAGGAGTTCAAGCTATAGAGTCACCCACTGAGGAAGCCATGTACACTCTTCCCTCCTGTCCAAGGCTGAGAGGTGAGGGAGGCAAAAGACTGGACAAGAGGAATGGGCACCTAGTGAGTGAGGGGTCTTGGAGCTGTGTGGAAACACACAGGAAGAGCACCCTGCTGTGGAGGCAAGCCAAAGCCAAAGACTACAGTGGCAGTTTCTGAAGTCTATGTGGAGAATCTCAAATGTCAGAGGATCTCACAGCCCTGTCTGTCATTTAGCCTAATCAAAACAGAATGAGGATGCCTAGGACAGGAGAGACACAGACTAGGCCTGTGTGAGAAGCAGTCAGGGAGTTTGGAGCCCCAGTCCAATAGTACCTGGGGCTACCTAGGTTGGCGCCAGCCAGGATTCTGGGTACTTAGCACAGATGTTACCTTTTCTGTTATTCCGAGCTGCATTCTGCCTGTTAGGAAACACAGCATGGGACACTGACTCATTTGTCCAAGTTCATAGGGCCAATAAAACCAATGGACAGAGGAGGCCTTTAGGGCAGTGTCCCAGCCTGCTGTCCTCCATGACTGGAACCACCACTTGTCTGTGACAGGTTTATTAGAAAGGAGCAAGGAGCCGGGCGGTGGTGGCGCACGCCTTTAATCCCAGCACTCGGGAGGCAGAGCCAGGCGGATCTCTGTGAGTTCGAGGCCAGCCTGGGCTACCAAGTGAGTTCCAGGAGAGGCGCAAAGCTACACAGAGAAACCCTGTCTCAAAAAACCAAAAAAAAAAAAAAAAAAAAAAGAAAGGAGCAAGGAGAACGATGGCTCACAAATCATGCCACCAAGAAGTTCTAAGATTTACTGGGACAAGCCTAAGCTAAGGCTGAGCTCTCATAATAATAAGTCTCCGTGTCCTCATTTGTGAGCTGGCAGCCCAAAGAAAAATCTGACTACATTCATCCAATTCACACAACAAGCCTCTGTCTGGAAGCATCCAGCCACCCATCCTGCTGGGGCTCAGCTCCTCCAGAGGACATGGAGCTGTGGAGATGGCTGTCCAAGGCACCTGAAGTTTGCTCAGCTCAGTTTACCTGGAGGCAGGCACTTCAGAAATGTTTAAAAGTTTGAGGATCACCAGGAAGGAAACTACTGCAGGGAATGAGACTACCTGCAATTAGAAACAGGCCTGTGCCTCCAGGCCTAGCACACACAAGTTTTTATAAAGTTGATTTTTAACCTTTAAAAAAGTATGGGTAGGCCTGTGCATCTGTTTGTGAGTATGAACATATAAATACAGGTGCCCAGAAGCCAGAAGTGGGCATCAGATCCCCTAGTGATGTAGTTACAGGCAAATGTCAGCCAGTCACCTGACATGAAAGCTGGGAACTGAACCCAGGTACTCTGCAAAGCAGGCAAGTGCTCTTAGCCAGCCCCAATAATGTTTAAACAAGGTTCTAATATAATTCAAGAATTACCTTCTGACTTATCAAAATGAAGGAAAATGTACTGATATTTACAGTACAAGTGTCATTCGTCTGAAAAACTGGAATATCTTAGACCACTAGGCTAAGCTGACAGCAGTAGTCATCTATCACACTGTGTTCACAGTCCATGTGGTATGTCATAAGCAGCATTCAGGAGCTAATGCACGGGGGCTAGAAAAGAAAGTGAACATTACTACAGCAGCTACAGAAGCTAGAGTGAAGCCCACGCTGCCTTCAAGAGCTAGTCTGACTACACACACTCAAGAGAGAAAGATCCTGGAGTCATGTGTGAAATCACTTTCACTGAGGCTGGAAACCCAAACACAAGCAGCTTCAAAGGCGCATCACCCCTGTCTAGGCACGCTGCTCTCCACTACAGAACCAAACTACCCTTCCTGGGTAGCTATCAATGTCAACAGCCCACAGAGAGGAAGCTCAAGGGGCAGTAATGGCTCACTTCAGAGCTCAGGTCTGTGGGCAAAGCGACGATCCAAGACCAAAGTCAAGGCCAGCCCCCAGGGGCCTTCTTAAGGTAGCCACTAGTTTACTGGCCTCAAGAAGTCCTCATGACTTCAACCTCACTGTTCACCATTTTCTTCTTTTTTTTTTTTTAAGATTTATTTATTATGTATATAGCATGTATGACCAGAAGAGGGCACCAGATCTCATTACAGATGGTTATGAGCCACCATGTGGTTGCTGGGAATTGAACTCAGGACCTCTGGAAGAGTAGTCAGTGCTCTTAACCTCTGAGCCATCTCTCCAGGCCCTGTTCACCATTTTCAATGCACCCATCCACTGTACTGCAACCTTTAATCCTATGGCTCTTCGCATTTAAGGACTTTTATTTTCCAGAAACTTCTGACAACCCACACAAATTAAAGACTCCACTATACTGACATTGTGAAAACTGAAATCCCTCTGACAAGAAATTAGTACTGTATCAACACATTTGTCACACCCACAGTCCCCACTCTGGAGCCCTACCCTGTCGTAACCCCTTGCATGAGGAGCCTAGATTTCCCTGACCCTGCTTTGACTTCCCACCAAAGCTCCACCTAAGCAATTCCATCAGACCATTACAACCCTACCCAGACCACTCCAAATGGTCCTAGTCCTGAACATGCTCACAGCTACAAAGACAGGAGCAAGGGCAGCAGTATGTCACCCACCTTCAGTAAAACATTCCAGCATTCACACCAGGATGAAGGAAGACCTAAGACCAACTCGGGATAAAGAATCTAAGATCCACAGGCACAATCTTCTTGTGGACCCAGGAAGAGGACAGGTGACAGGGCTAACTGTCCCCTGCACAGGTCTGGTGACTTTAGCTCCACTGAGAACAAACACCAAGGTAAATGGAACATTTGTGCTTTCTGAACCATAAATGAAGCCATGCTGGGTAAGGTTACTGAACAGACTGGAGAACTGGCCAGATGACAAAATGAGGACAGAATCTCTATAAGTGGAAAGCAAAGACAACTGGCTAATGGGCCTGCAGAAAACAGTTGCTTCGTGAGCACATGCTGTCCGTTTCCATCAGAAGACAAGCTGCCTCCAAGAGAGAAGAGGATGCCAGCAGTACCCTTTGATGTGTGGTCCCAGATACAGTGACACTGGGAAGGGGGGTTGGAAACAAAGTATGGGGTTTACAGGTGGAAAGAATCAGAGATGTACAAGTTACTTCTCAGTGTGAAAAGTGACCAGTATTACAGCTTCTTGCAGGGAGGCTGCTTAGAGCAGAGTGGGTAGTGGATCATGGCTGGCAGCAGTGACAGGCTTCTGAGGCACTGGGCCCAGGGGCAGAACCAGGTGTCTGCCTTGGAAGCTCAAGCACTGGCTCTTTCGTAGCCTCTCTGCCCGACAGAAGCCTGTGGCTGTGGCCTGATAGAAGCAGCCGGTCCGGGTTAGACGTTGGGCTCTCTGCCCTCAGGTCAGCAGACAGAGCCAAGCATCAGGCAGGCACTTCTGCCTACAATCAAGCACAAGCATCACACTTAAACTGTGAAAAGCCTGCTGTGTTGTTTTTTCCAATTCCAGGCGAAACTTTATTCATGATAGAAACAGTGGGAAACTGAGGTAATGGGCTTTGCTTTCTCATCTATGAAAAGGTGCATCCTTTCATGTTATGGGGAAACACCAACATAACAAACACAGACCACAATGTCAAAAAAAGCAGAGAGAGGAACCAACTACAAGGCTGAAACTCCCCAAGAGGAAGGCTATGAGAACCAATTTCTGCCACAAGCTTTGCAGAAAGGACTAGGGTTCTCTTTAGCTCTGACTCTTTCCCAAAATGGGTAGCACAGGGAAGACACATGGGTCTTCCAGCACAGAGAGTGTTAGTTTTGGAAAACAAGGAGCAGAGCCTCCTGTACGGTGAGTGAACTCTATGTGTCACCACAACTTCTTAAGCTGTATTATGCAAACAGAAGCCTGTCCTGACTATCCATAGTGACCTAGAGCTCACACCAACCTTCACAAAAACTCCTTGAAGGCCACAGAAGTGCAAATCCCAACTGCCACCATGAGCTTCCCTCCACCCTGTGGCACTCACTCCTCTCCTGAGGAGCCTGGGATACTTCACTAAGCACAGAAGTCCTTCCAGGTATATCCAATAAAGAACTGTTCTCCTTATCTCAGAACAGGAAGGTGTTTAAGTTTGACAGCAATAAGCAAGAACCAAGTCTACCTTGTCCCACCTGTGCAAATGTCATCAAACTTCCATGGAAAGTTGCAGAAAGCAATGAACTTGGGGAGTTTCTTCTCTGGTGCAGAAACTAATGTGAGAGCCCCCAAAGCATCCATGCAGGCCAGAGCCCCACCTGCACACTTCATCCCAGCTCCCTCCTGCTGCAGGCAACCCCACCCCACCCCCACACCAGTGTCTCATGCTGAGGAATACAGACTGTGAGAAGGTATGGATGGGGGACAGGTGAACACTTACCTGTCCATCCTGGCCAACATGATGGATCTGTAGATTGCCCTGCACAGGGAAAAAAGGAGACAGAGTGAGAACTTCCCTACACTATTCAGAAATAACCAGGAAACCACTAACTGTACAAAAATCCAACCCCTTTTAGCAATAAAACCCACAAAAATAAAACAAGTACTATAAGGTGAATCTTTTTTTCTCTTGTATTAAAAGCATAAAACTCGGCCGGGCAGTGGTGGCGCACGCCTTTAATCCCAGCACTCGGGAGGCAGAGCCAGGCGGATCTCTGTGAGTTCGAGGCCAGCCTGGACTACCAAGTGAGTTCCAGGAAAGGCGCAAAGCTACACAGAGAAACCCTGTCTCGAAAAACCAAAAAAAAAAAAAAAAAAGCACAAAACTTTAAACCTGTTCCCTCAACTCTGACCCACAAATGAAAATGTCTTTCCTTTTCCTTTTTAAACAATTGCAGATTCACAAGGCATGTACACAGTAGCACAATATGGCCCACAATAGGTAGGAAGTTACTCCCACCACTCTGAGTCTACAGTGTCTCTTCATAGATCCCATTACGCCATCATCAATTATAAAAAACACCAGTCACCCACTGAACCAGGCAGACTCTCCTAGAGCACTCTTCAGGCTCTTCTGGAATAGCATTGGTTCCATAAACTGAGTACATGACTGTGTGGCCTTGTGAGCTTGCAGGGTGACACCTGACTCACCTCACTGTCCTGTGTGATCTGCACCTGCTCCCCTTGAGGCACCTGGGCAATGTGGAGGTGGCCCTGTGGAATCCACAGCAAGAGAAGACACCAAGAAGCATCAGAGAAAAACAAACCAAAAGAAACAACAAGCACCCTCTGCCAACTTGATGCCTACCTGCTCTCAGCCCAAGAGAGGGCAGGGTCTGATTACCTTAGTGCAATGTGTGCACTGGCTGAGCTCATCCCACAGCCTCGTAAGTAAATGTTCATCACATGATTTATGCGATTTGCTGAACTTTTAAATGTTACTTAACAACTAAGAATGTGCAGTCACAGGGGGAATACTGGTAAGGGTGGCAGATGGGAGGAGTCACTCGCATGCACTGCACTGAAGTGGAAACACTTCACGGAAACACTAGTAAATGTGGCTCCACAGAAGCCCAGGGTCCGACTCCTATCAAAATCCTATCTGGGGCTGGAGAGATGGCTGAGGTTAAGAGCACTTGTTGTTCTTGCAGAAAACCTGAGTTCAGTTCCCAGCACCAATGTAGGACGGCTCACAATACCCCATAACTCCAGCTCCAGGGGATCTGAAGCCCTCTTCTGGCCTCTGTGGACACCTGCACTCACATGCACAAACCCCACACAGACAGACACATGCATATACATAACTAAAAATAAAAATAAATCTTTTTATTTTTGAAATCCTATCTTAGCCCAAATAAGATCTTATAGCAAACAACCTGCGGCAGGTGTTGGGCTGCTTCTGCTTTACTGTGCACAAAAACCTGTGCCAAAGGGATCTCTTCCCACTGCTTCCCAGACTTCCCCACTAACCAGGTGAAAATACATGCTGTCTGGTCAGTTACACAAATCGACAAGCCCATGAAACCCATCACTTACAGTCACTGTTTCCTTTCAAACAGCCCCGTAGCCAGTGGACAAAAAGCACCAGCATGACCCTAGAGCTGCCCTCAAAGCTCCTTGCTCTCCAGCAGTTTCTGAGGTGCATACTTCCCATCTGCCACTGTCTGTCTGCTTAGAGTATACAGAAGACTCTGCCTAGCCTTTGTGCTGCCTATGGCTCAGAACACAGCACCCTGGCCGAGGCTTGCCTCTTTACTGTGCAATGCCTGTAGTAACCCAGCACATGTTAAAGAAATGCTGCAGAATCCAAGGCCATCGGCTTAGACCTTTTCCACTATGAAAGGCTGCCTGAGATCATGAACCAAGAATTATGCTTCCAGGGAGACAAGCAGAAAGAGATTCCTTCAGACAGGCTGCACACATATGGGTGACCTCAAAATTAGTACAGGACCAAGAGATGAACCATAGGGACCAGTCAATGTCCTGCAGGGATTTCTATCACTAGGTTGTTCAGCAGCAGCCAACAGCCATGTGCAAGGTTGTCATACTACTTCTCTAAATGAAGCACTTTCACCTCACCTCAAACTATCAGTGTGCTGCTTTCTCTCCCTGCGCCATCAACATTCCCCCAGCTCCCTCCCCCAGCTCCCTCCCCCAGCTCCCTCCCCCAGCTCCCTCCCCCAGCTCCCTCCCCCGAACTCCCGAGACATGTGAGTGAGAAGGTACGTACTACTTGCACCTGGCCATCCTCTCCAATCTGGTGGATCTGCACTTGCTGTGCATTGGCCAACGCATAGTGTAGGGCCTGTGGCTGCGACTGCTGTAGCTCACTGGCGGGTGGAGGGGTACCAATCATGGTCTCTGTGGAACACAGGAGTAAGTGTTAGGATCCTCAGGTCCCACATACAGGGTGACACTCAGTCATCTTAGCTCCCTCATGTCTCCCCTCTCAATTCCTGAAGAAGAGGGAAGAAGGCATCTTGTTCCTAAACTCAGGTCAGTACTTCTCTGCTCTGAGAGCTGTCAACAGCAAGTCAGGGGAAATTGAGATTTGTGACGACAGAGGCAAGCATTGTTAAGATTCAATTGACACTGTTGTAACCAACTCTTTTTCCTGCAAACACATAGACAAACTACTGACCTAATGCAGGTCTGTCCACAGATATGACCCACAGGGCTATGCTGAAATCAAACTACATCTATAACACACTTAATTAAAGTAAGGTACATTTGGTTTGATATCTGGTATGCTAATTTTAACTGTAATACAAACTATAATGAATTTTCTTCCAGTACTGGAGACTGGGTCTAAAGCCTCCAGCATGCTAAATGTGTGTTCTGACACTGAGCACATCTCGGCCTCTAACTGTAATGACATCACAAGCAGAATTTCCTGAAACAGGCTATTAGGGCTTAGATTTTTTTTATACATTTTTATACATTCAATTTTCAATGTATATTATGCAGTTCCATGGCAGAGAGTTGTACTAACTGGTCAGAACAAACCTGCTGGGCAAACCTTGAGAACGTGGACTGTCATTATGTGTGGATGCGAAGCTGACTCTAAAGGAAAGCTCTATGTCCTTTCCACAGCAGCATCAGAGTGCTGTGGTTTTAAAAAGCACCATGACAAAATTAATTAATTAATTAATTAATTAATAAAAATAAATAAATAAAAGCACCATGACAACAACTAAACTGTGGAGTCACACACATGTACAGGCAGAAGATAGAAGAGCTGGTCCCTCTGCCACTTGAAACTAGTAGCTACCACACAGATGCTGCTTCCTGTGTCCAGAACAGTAAAGCACAGCATGTATGAATGTTTACACAGTGCTGACTTTCAGAAGCTTACAAGAAACTATTCGTGGTTGATGTCCAAACTGACAGGGACTAATCCATCATTAAATAAACTAGCTTTGCTGGGCATCATGGCACACCTGTAACCCCAGCACTCAAGAAGCTGAGGAGGAGGGTCACAAGCTGGAGGTCAGCCTGGGCTATACTGCAAGACCTTGTCTCAAAAAAATAAACAAGGGATGAAGACATAGCTCAATGGCAGAGCACTAGCCTGGCATGCATGAGGTCCAAGGTTCCATCCCCTAGCACCACCAAACAAAAACTAGCTAGCTGTCTTGGTTATTTTTCTATTGCTGAAGAGACACCATAACTAAAGCAACTTGCAAGAGAAAACATTTGGGGGCTTGCTTACAGTTTTAGAGGGTGAGTCCATGACCATCATGGTGGGGAGCAAGACAGCAAGCAGGCAAGAATGGTACTGGAGCAGCAGATGAGAGCTTACATCTGATCCACAAGCACAAGGCAGAGAGAAAGAGACTGGGCCTGGCATGAGCTTCTGAAACCTCAAAGCCCACCCAACTGACACATCTCCTCCAACAAGGCCACAATTTCTAATCCTTCCCAAAAGAGTGGACCAACTAGAAACCAAGCATTCAAACATATGATCCTATGGGGGCCATTCTCAAACGACCACATATCCTTGGCACAAAACTCATATACAGGCCGGTGAGAAAGCTCAGTAGGTAAAGGCACTTGTCACCAAGCCTACCAATCTGAGTTTGATCCCCACAATTCACACAGAAGGAGAGAACCTACTCTTGCAAGATGTTCTCTGACCTACACTCATGTGCATGCCACATGCACTCTCACTACCATGCCTACCCGACACACACACCCATACACACACACACACACACACACACACACACACACACACACACACACACACACACACACACACACACACACACGGAGCATGTACATGAAAATACACATACAAAACAAATAAAATAGAATAAAAGATGAATACTTATCTATATAAATATTTGTAAGGAAAAAACATCCTTTGCAGTATTGTGTGGTGGTCCCTTGTCTCTCTGCTAACAATTCTAAGGTAACAAGTCAACCCAGCTGGAATCAATACCAATTCCAAATTAACAGAATTCTGGCTTAATTACATTTTACCATCACCAAAATAGCCTTGAATACCAGAATAGCTTTGCGAAGGCAACAGCAGATGCAGACAGAACAATGACAAAGATTCCAAAAGTCCCTTAGCCTAACCACCCACTCGGCTTAATCAGATCTTTGCCAAGAATGTGGCATGTTAAAACAGACAAATGTCTCCTCGACAGTTTACAAAGCTGTGCACTGTCACAAGACCCTGTGGATGTCAAGTGGCAAGGACTGCCCCAAGCCCAGGCCCTTTTCTGAAAGCAAGTGCCTGTCTGCCTCATCAGCCATGGCCCGAAACTATATCTACTAGTTCAGGGGCAGCTCTAAGGCTAGTCCCAAACAGCACACACCCAAAGCCACCACAAGAGGGTTATAATAATCATGCCTCATGGCGGTGTGTAGCCTCCCCATCCCCATCCCCATGAACAGCGCCCTCCCAGCCCCAGGTTCTCTTCTACTCTAAACCAAAGAGCACAGAATAGGATCAGCACTCTTCTTCCTCTAATGATGTCACTGGCAGGAGGACAGAGACCACAGGTCAAGCAGAACAACAGCCACCTGGCAGTGCCTTCTGGGAATGATGCCTCGGTCAGACCAGCATACATACTACAGGGCTTGTCCATTCCCCAACAGTCACCCCAGGGGGCTGACAGCTGCCAGGGCTTCTCAGACACGCCATTCCTGGGGACCTGCCCAGAACCTAGGCACTTAATACAATGCACAGTGGCTAGCCGCCTACACAAGAAGCCAGCAGCATCCATGGCATCTTAGAGAAACTGCCAATATGTTTATAAACGGAGCAGCAATCAATCAATCAAGTAGTGTGACTAGCTACTAATAAAAAAGAAAAAAATTGAAAATTAAAAAACGAAATATAAATATCATCACGCTAAGCTACTGTCAAGCAGTGGAAAGAAACACAAATAATTAAAAAAGTCCAACCACTAATAAGTAAGCAAGCCTGACAATGACTAGAGCAGGAGCCACAGAAACAGGCACAAGCACCTGAGTCTGCACCTGCAAAGTTGCTGTTGGCTTAAAGACCCAGAAGACGCCGGGCGGTGGTGGCGCACGCCTTTAATCCCAGCACTCGGGAGGCAGAGCCAGGCGGATCTCTGTGAGTTCGAGGCCAGCCTGGTCTCCAAAGCGAGTTCCAGGAAAGGCGCAAAGCTACACAGAGAAACCCTGTCTCGAAAAACAAAAAAACAAAACAACAACAACAAAAAAAAAAAAGACCCAGAAGACTCAACTGCTTAAAGGGTGAGTTTGGGCCAGCAAAGTGGGTGCCAGTGGGTGCTGGCTAGAAAATGCAGAGCTTCAGGCCACTCCACTCTACCTGAATTAGAATATTAACTGACCATGATTCCAAAGTAGCATACCTCCACCTGACAACCTGAGCACCTTCAGACCCAGATGCATGTGTCTGTAAGCAATCCACCTGTGGAGGGAATGGTCTATTGATTGTTTGGGATATATATGGAGAACTGATGACCTGCTTTTTCTACGCCGATCTCTTGGTACCCGCACCTCTGAAGGCAGTCTAACTCACCAATACCACCACTCCTCAGGTCCTTCATGTACACTACCAAACCCTGTACAGTTGGAGTGTCTCATCCTTTTGCTCAAATTCCACTGTCACCACAAAAACTGACTCTGGACAGGCTCTCAATGGCTGTTAAACACTGCCCTGTGACCATGGGTCAGACTATGACTGTGGTGGCTTGGGCAATGTGCCCACTGCACAGACAGGTACCAGAGCTCAGCATGCATCTGAATGCAGCAGTGGAGCCTACAGACACATGCTTCTGGGCTCTACATGTACCAAGGCAGGCACTCTGGGCACCTCTACAGCTACAGAGCCCTGTCTCCATTCACCCTGTGCTCGTCATCAAGCTAGCAATACAGGCTACAACACCTCAGTGTGTCAGATCAGGGGTAAGACCTGGTTATCAAAACCCTGTCCAATAAACTCTACCTGACTGTAATTCCTTACAATTTCTAAATAATCAACCAGCTTCAACTACATGAAATGCAGATACCTAGAGTATGTTTCATCTCTAACTCTGACTGGCAATTTTTTAAAAATCTAATTTCTGCCGGGCGGTGGTGGCGCACGCCTTTAATCCCAGCACTCGGGAGGCAGAGGCAGGCGGATCTTTGTGAGTTCGAGGCCAGCCTGGTCTACAGAGCGAGATCCAGGAAAGGCGCAAAGCTACACAGAGAAACCCTGTCTCGAAAAACCAAAAAAAAAAAAAAAAAAATCTAATTTCTTTCCTTGCTACTACATTTCTATTCCTCTTTTAAGTCCTTGAACATAACTTTAATAACATTTTAGTGCCATGGGCTGTTAATTCCAGACTGGGCCTCCTTAGTCACTAGGTTTTTTGTTTGTTTGGTTGGTTGGTTGGATTTAGGTTTTGTCTGTTGTCTGTTTTGGTCATAGGTCACATTGTCCTTTTTCTTGGTATTAGATCCAAGACCGTGTGAATGTTCCCAGACTAGGTGTATGGATTTTGTTGTCTTCCTATAACAGCTGAAACCTATGGCCCAGTGTGATCTTCTCAGGCTGTCTTTAAGTTCTGGCTTTACATGGCTGGAGATATGGCTCAGAAGTTAAGAGCACTGGCTGTTCTTTCAGAGGACCTGGGTTCAGTTCCATCACCCGAATAGTGGCTCACAACCACTAATAACTCATTCCAGGGAGTCTGATGCCCTCTTCTGACTTCTCCAACATCAGGTGTGTATATGTTGCATAGACTTACATGCAGGCAAGAGACAATACACACATACGCATGCCTGCACGCATACATACACACACACACACACACACACACACACACACACACACATATTTTTTTTAAATGTTCTGTCTTTACTCTGGGGAGAACTCAGCCATGGCCCTCTAGCTCTCTCCCAAAAGTTGGACCTGAATCCAGGGTTTTTTTCTCTGGCTGGCAGATATATGGGCACCTCTTCAGCCCAATGTGAGTATGCTTGGGTACACTGACTAGGATGTCCTGCTGATATTCACTGCAGGCACGCTCAGCTTGGAAACCAGCAAGAATCCTAGGGGACTCTGTGTGACTTGGGACCTCACTTCTAGTTCACCAGGTTCACTACTTGGGCTCTCACAGTACCATTTGGGGTCCTCAACAGAAGGTTCCTTGCTGCTCCAGGTTCCAAGCTGTGTGAGGACAGGCAAACCAGCTTCTTGTTCTCAGGGCCACAGACCTAGGTCTGCACTTGTCTACACAGCAGCTTTCTACAGCCAGGTTCACTCCAGTGCCCAATTCTGCCACCTGATGAAAGCAGTATCTTCCTAAACGTTAAACTATCACATGGATGCAGAGCTCATGGACAACAACACGGGAGCCACAGTAAGACAGAGAGAACTGATGAGCCACTGCCAGAGAGCTGCCACCATTGCTCAAGCAAGAAAGGAGCAAACCACAACCTGTGTGGGTTGACAGCACTCAAGAGCACATCTAAGGTTAGTCACAAGTCATGTCTGACCCATTCAACAGCTGCACGTGAGTACACACACACACACACACACACACACACACACACACACACACCCCTCAGTCAAATATAACTCCACCAAACTCCACCAAACACATTCTAGCCATGCCTAGAGGCTCCCTCAGGTTTCCAGGACAGAACCCAAACTTCTCATCCTACATGTGATCTACACTACAGAGAACAGTGAGTGTGACCCACACAGCTGCCACTCTGCAACAACTAGAGCTAAGTATCTGATAACCACCAAAACAAGGAAGGAAGAGCACTTTCTGGAAGATGGTCAGGGAGGGCTCCAGGCGACCAGCTTTGCAGCTTCCAAAACAAAGTCCCTGGACAAAGCCTGTACTGAGAGGGAGCCCTGCCAGCCCCATGCCCACTGCTGCTCTGGATCCTGAGCTGACCCCCAAACAGGACTCAGCTTACAGGAGCTACTGCTATTGCCAAGAAAGCTATGAAAAAGAGTTTAAAAGACTATTTTAGAATTGAGAACATAGCTCAACACAAAAACTCAGCCAAGACTGCCCAGGACCCTGGGGCACAAGCCCTAGCATTGGAGTGGAAAGAGGAGGACAGGCCCAGGGGTAAAGCTCCGAGAGTTTGTCTTGGTGATCTTGAGGACAAGCCTGAGTCTACAACCTCAAACTAAGACTAAAGAGCACGATGGGGGCCCTCCAGCCACTCTGCAAGTAACAGTAACTACTGTTAAGCTGCAAGACACTCAGGAAATGAGAAACCAGGCAGCACAAGGAAGGTCCTGCATGAATTCTTCTTGTTGGAGCTCCAGGGTAAGAGAAGCAGGCCTCATGCTCTTGCCACTGCCTAGGGAGCTCCCAAAATGCCAGCCTCACACTGGGTGGGGCCAGAACTGACGAGCTCCTGGGTTGTACTCTGCATGTGAACAAAGGCTTTAGGGCAATCTTCTCCTGAGCATACCTGAGGCACTGTATGAGGATGAGGATGGTGTTCTCCGGGAGAAGCTCTTGACCGCCAGGCTCTGGCCTCGCTGCTTCCGCCGCCATGCTGTACGGCACTTGGAGTCAATGCTCTGCTTGATCCGATACCAGTCGGACTCCGTGATTCCAAATTTATAGAAGAGGTGACCTGAAAGAACATGTCCCAGATAAAAGCTATCAGATACAGGCCTTGACCTGGACCCCACTGTTGAGAGCAACAAACACAGAAGCTGAGTGCTGCTAAGAGACCTAGCTGACCTGTTGGCCTACTCCTGGAGGGCTGATTCATCTTCCAGAAAACAAGCCAGAAAAATCTAACTGCATCAGGAAAAAGAGTTACTCAGGTCACTAGGTTAGCAGGATCAGATGCAAATACTTATCTCTCTTCTTGTCTATTTAACCTTTAAATAAGCTGACTTCACCCCAACACCAAGGGGATTCCATTTCTCACAGGCTCCAGACTCCCCAGCCTCCAACTTCTCTTGCCCTAAACTTACAAGACAGCACACGCCATCCTGACTGCCTGGGGAATCAAATGGCGACTTTACACTGTACTCATGCAGGTCCTGCTAGAGCTGTAGTCCATTACCCTCTGCTCTGCTAGGCCCACCCACCTCTGCCCAGACTAGTCCTCCCTCCTCATCCAAAACTCCCCTCAGCACAGCACACCTGCTTTCTAGAACACCCATTACTTCCCTAAATGTATAGGATTCTCACACAGTGTTTATATACCCCTTCTTCCTTGTAAATGCAGGAAACTTGGTTTTGCACACTGCTGGCACTCAGTAGACACTGGCTATCTGCTCAGTGAGCAGCAGTTATCTGACGCTATCTGGCCAGTGCTCCTTGTCAGATGCTTGCTCCTGTGTTCTTGCAAGCTGTCTCCCAGAAAGCAAGTTCCTTGAGCAAACGGACTATTCCCGGAGTTACTTGATGCCCTGGGGTAGAATAGAACCCACACCTACCACTGGAGGATGGAGCCGAAAGCCATGCACATGGCAGAGCACCCACTGGGACCCAAACTGCTAATCCTTATGTATACAGAGCATGCGAGGAGCATCAATGAACAGCATGCAGATACTCTCACTCAATAATAAGGAAATCAAAGATACACAAGGCCACCAGAAACAGACAACAGAATAGAGGTGTCAGACTATTCTAAGTCTGGCCCCACATTTCATTAGCCCATGTGATACCCCTCCCTCTTTTCTTTTTAGGACTTCTTGTGCTGTCACTTGACTTTGCCAATTAAAAAATATTTTTACTAAACCGTGTGTTGGGGGCAGGGTGTATGCATGCATGTGCACGAATGTTTTTGTGCATGTGCACATGAGGGCAGATGCCCACAGAGAGGTCAGAATCATTAGATCTCCTAGGGCTGGAGCTATAGACAACTGTGAGCCATTGATGTGGGAGCTGGGAACCAAATTCAGGTCTTCTGGAAGAGCAGTAAGTGCTCTTAACCACTAAACCATGTTTCCATCCCATGGTCCTTTGTTATATCCAACAGCAGCAGGAAAGATGGTGGTGAATGACACAAGACATTCTCTTCAACACAGTGACCTCTGTAGCTGGCTCATGCAACTTCGCTGATTAACAGGAAAATAAGTGGAAGAAATTCAAACTATAATAATGAAAAGCCTAAGTTGAAAAACTTCCTGTTTTGACTATTAAGGCTATTGAGTTTGGATCATATACTGAGAGTTAAGTTACCACCCAAACTCTAAAACTGCTTCTGTTGATACCAAATACAAGAAATAATGAAAACGAAGCCTTTAAATGCTGTGTCAAGTCTCAGGCATTAGGAAATATCTTGACTTTTCTGTGAGCATATGCTCAGAGAACAATGACAGGAAGACTTCCGTGATCTGGAAGGAGGCTGGACGCTGAGAGTACCACATGGAGCCCAGCAGCACTTTTCACCCTCCCTCATGAAAGGGAATCTGAGTGTGAGCTAGAAACTCTGGTCACCTAAAATAAACACAGAGTTATTATTCAATAAACCACTGAGCAATTATATGTGTTGCATGTGGCTTTAGGTATGGATAAAGGCCTCACTAGGTCACAGGCTAGTTATCTGGCCACCAGTCACAGTCACCACAGAACCCACTACTGACCAATTACCTTATCTGATGCACATTTGAAAACCTTATAGAATAACAATGTCATCGCCCTTGTGACCATTTTGAGGCAAAAACTAGGAACAAGAGACACATTCTGTAAGACCAGCCTCAGCCTCAATGTATAGTTTCTGGCTATCCTCCTATGCATCTACCTTCATCATACCTGAGGACCTCAGGTGAAAGCTTCAGGGAGACAGACAAGAAAAGGCCTGCTGCCACACCTTACTCAGAAGGCTGCTCTGAGGTCACACAGTAGAATCAGGCTCAAAACCAGAAGCCCTCAAAAGAACAGAAGCCTCCATTTGCTGGCCTGTGGATCACCTGTTGCCCAAGGAGTGAAGCATTTAGCCCAAAGGAAGACTAAGGTCAAGGGTACACCTGTGCTTCAAGCTGTGGAAGGTGGCCCAGCTTGCTCTCACCCACTTGCAGTGGAGCCAGGAAGCACCTCCCATCATTGCTAGCAGCTTTTCCACCCTCCAGAATTCCACTGCTAACTCTTCAAATCAGAAAAGCAGCTTCCCAGCTCTCACTTAATGAGCCTACACAGGAGACTGCCAGGAGCTGTGGGAAAGGCAACAGACTAGAGGAAACAAACAGAGCCCCTCAGTGGGGGGCACATTACATTATCAGTCACAAAGGAAGGAGGGCACTATTACTGCTGAAGCAATCTCAAGTCCATGGAGAAAACCATGCAGGGAACTGCACGCCAAGAACTCATTTCTCATATTACAGACCTGACATAATAGCAGCCCCCCAGGAAAACAACAGACCCCACCCATGGACAGGAAGGAGCACTGGGCGAGGGGGCACTCTGAACAGGCCTATGCCCATCCAAGCCTCCCAAGGAAAGCCTGTCGGGCTTTCCCCAACTCATCCTGGCCCGTACATACTTCCTTACAACTACTCCTGCTCCTCTTAGTCTGTAGTCTCTGATGGCCAATCTAGGTCAGGTCCACAGCAGGGTCCAATCCCTCTGAGAAGAGGTCTCCCACCTATCTCCAGGATTCACAAGCTCCTTGGCTACCAGCTCAAATTAACCAAACTCTTCTCTGGCTCTCTGGTCAAACTGGTGCTCTTAGTATATCCCAAGACCCCTGCCAGGCCACAGCAGACCAGTGCCACACCTATGCATGGGCTGTATCCAAAACATATGAGCAGTTTTCCCAATCTACCCTTCAGGATCTAAGAGGAGACAGCATCTGATTATCGAAGCTCAGAAAAACCCACATCCCTGTGCATTGATGGGAACAGTGTCCCTCAAAATTCATGTCTTTCTCAGGACCTCCAAATGAGACCTCACTGGGAACCAGGATCTTTGCAGTATGACTGAGGATGAGGTTACATTAGTGGATTTCACTCCAGTACAACTGGTATGCTTATACGGAGAGGGGAGAAACAGATACAGACACCCAAAGAGGACATGGCCAATAGAAGCAGCACCAGCAAGCACCGAAGCTGCCAGCCACCACCAGAGGTAGAGGCAAAACCCCTTTAAAGGAGGAGGAGCTGCCCTGCCAACAGCTAGACCTTGCATCTGGGCCTGTGTCTGAATGCTCAGTCCATGGACTCTGTTAAAGCACCCCTAGGAGCCCAATATACCCCATGATGCATCAAACCAGGAGAGCTCTCTGGCTCCCACAGAATGTGTTACCTGCAACTTATGACCAAGAAACTACCTGCTCTAGGTAAGGGTAGCTTAGGAAGAGCCACTGCATGGGTGGTGGTGACGCAAACCTTTAATTCCAGCACTTGGGAGGCAGAGATAGGTGGATCTCTATGAGTTAGAGGCCAGTCTGATCTACATAGTAAGACTGTCTCAATAAAAAGGAAAAAAGAAAAGAGTCACTGCATTCATCTATCTGCTGGTTATCTGTAGGCATGTATGTAGTTTTGTACAAATTAAGAGCCTTCATTCAAAGCACTTTCAAAGAGCCTGGAGTCCTCGGGGTCTCTCATCCACACCAGCACTCTTTACAGATATACAGAGATCAGACTGTGTGTGTGTGTGTGTGTGTGTGTGTGTGTGTGTGTGTGTGTGTACGCGCGCGCGCACGAATGTACCCATGTGCATGTGTGTACGTGTGTGTGTATGTTTTAATTAATTTCTGGCACCTGGCAGACTGGAGCATGCTCATCTGCAGAGTTCAAGCAGAAGCTTGGATGATCCACTAGCAAAACTCTCAACAACTCAGCCTACATGCTCACTTGAAAGAGCACCACTTCCATCCCCAGTGCACTCCCAAGGAAAACACTCAAAACCATTCAAAGGCATACTACTGCTCTTTCTGCACACACTTTCACTGATGACTCAAATCCTGGGGAGCTAACCAATCCTTTATTTCTCTCCCCATCTTCCACTGTGAAGACGGCACTTAGAGACAAGACTACAGCTAACAAGACTAGCCGAATAAGGCCAGCAGCAGGCATTACCATGAGATTCTGAAGGAGGGGTAAAGCCAAAGTTTGAGGTAATACTAGACAAGTTAAGGCTTGGAGGTCAAAGGTGAACAATCATTTTTTTTAACACTCAATGATTCCATGTGAGCACTAACACAGTACTGATAGATGGGCTGGGGTAGGAAGCTGGGTAGGTTTAGCCCCATCAGTAGCCTCTGAGGGTGGGACTACTCCAAGGGAGGAAGGAGTCTGTGTGGTACATCCTTATTAACAGCCTGCACTCCTTCCCTCACACACAGCCTACAAATTCAGCTGCCAAGTGAACACAAGTGCAGACCATGGTTTGGGGAAGGCAGGCAGACTCTTCTGCAGATGCTCATAGCCTTAGTGCCCTTTTCTCCCCAACCCACTACAAGCCCCTGCAGCTAGGTCAGGGTGTCTAAATATGGGGCACACTGGTCTAACACTCTGAAGCCCCAAGGCCAGTCTCTCTTTCTAAGGAAAGTGTTAAATACCTACCTTCTGTTAGATATTTGATAGAGCTGTGGTTCTTCCGGCCCCAGTACTTCCCCATGTGGCTGTCTCCTCAGTAAGGACAAAGTAGCTGCCCCCTCTGGGATGATGGAAAAGCCAAAGGTGTGGTGGCCCCAGTAAAACTAAACATACAACCAGCCCAGGAATCATCCTACATGTGAGCAGAGGCCCCACCTGCCAGTTCATTTCAGGGAGTTCTGGAAATGAATAGTCTAGGAGGTTGGGCATCAGACTGGGTCACTGGTAAGAGGGGTCTGGGCTTCTTACATGCTTTCCAAGTATCACCAGGAAGACAGAGAGAGAACCAGCTTGATTGAGTAGTATTCCTCAAATAGGAAAACACCAAGACCATGTTGGGTACTAAAATTGGTCCCAGAGTGCTACTAGCCTCCAACACAGCCAGATCAGCCCATGGGCATGTCACAGTGCCAAGGCCAAGACCTCCCTGAACAGACCCCACTCATGCCACTGGGCAGCTCAGGAGCACTGTGGCCGGTGGGCAGGAGGGAATCCCACCTCTGTTCTCTCTTCTTCAAGAGCAGCCTAAGGATGACTGACACTGGAATCTGCAACTCCCTGGAGAAGCACATTCCCAAGTGTCCCTCTCAGCACAGGGCACCACACAACATCTTGCCAAGCAAATCCTAAGTCCAGATCCCCATCTCTGTGATGACCAGAGTTTGGCATCACCCCCAGCACTGGAAATACGGTCTAAATTCGGCTCCCTGACCACCTCAGCTATTATCAGCTGTGTGAACTTACACCGGATACCGTAGATAGTGAGGGGGTCCAACTGCTTCTTCCCATGCTTGCCCTGGCCCGACAAGTTGGACACAGCCTGCACCTCTCGATGGAACAGGTAGTCCAGCAGCGTTAGGGCCATCTTCTCGGCTGTGCGACAGTTAGTGCTGATGTGCAGCATATCGGAGGGGATGATGGCACATCGTACCCGCATCTCAGGGTTATTTTCATCGCCCAGCCAGGTGCCATTGGGATAGTCCTCTGAAAGAAGAGACAAGTCTCAGCAAAGCTCAGAAGCATGTTAAGACAGCACAGCACACAGCTCAACTATAAGCTCCCTGGGGCTACTAAGCCAAGCTCCCAGCCTCCATCTGGTTGCCAGGAACACCAGAGCTGAGATACAGCCACTGGTGTTAGCCAGTAGCAGGCCCAAGCCATCCTGATTGTAGAAGAATACATCAAACAAAATATGGGCCCAAATACCAGGAGCCCCTTGGGATAACAGAACTAAAAATGAAATCTTAAAGGGGGATAAGTGTGCTGTTGCCGTAGAGTCCAAGCACTGCCGGTCTCTAAGATCTACAGGCCCAAGATCTTTGACCACACTGCAGTCAGTGTCATGTGCACCTCGCCCAGACAGCCTCTGCCAGGTCCCTTTATCACACTACTGTCTTACAACATCATGGGGATAGCTAGGCATGGTGGCACACACCTTTAATCCCAGCACTCAGGAGGCAGAGGCAGGAGGATCTCTGTGAATTTGAGGCCAGCCTGTTCTACAGAGCGAGTTCCAGGATGGCCAGGGCTGTTATACAGAGAAACCCTGTAAGAAAGAGAACAAGGGGGAGAGAGAGAAAGAAATCCAGGTTGAGGGAGAGACAGAACATGATAGAGAGACATGCTAGCAGGGTGGAGCATGGGCATGACCTCTCAGCTATAGCTAAGGATGGAAATAACTGAACTTTGGAACTCAGAGTCAGATGAATAAATAATCTCTTTCTCAATGGTATCAATGGAATATAAGTAGAAAGATGGTTCTTGGAGACAGATCCTGTTCTGGAAGTCAACCAGTCACCGTTATATCCAGTATGCATATAAAAAAAATTCAGTGGAGCTGGGCATAGTGGCACACGCCTGTAATCCCAGAACTTGGAGGGCTGAGGCAGGGCGGGTTATGAGATCCAGACCAGCATGGGCTACATAAGGAAACCTGATCTCAACAAACAACAAAACAAAGCAAAAGTGGAGACGATCTAAAGACACATCACTAAATGAACCATGAATTGTGGGTGTACAGTCCCCTCTTAAGCAAGAAGCTTAAGTGAGCTAAGCAAGAAAACCAGTGGCAGCAAGTGTGGCAGTAAGTGTCCCCTGTGGGGACAGGAAAGGCCTAGGTCTGCTGTCAAGTCAAGAGAGGCCTAGGTCTGCTGTCATTCAGGGATACAGAGGACAAACAGGAGGGAGAACTGCCCCAGAAGCTACCTGCATTAGCTTCCACAAACACAAAGATCTGGTGCCCTCTGACCTTGGGCAGACTACCATAGAGTCCAGGTTCCCACTGCTAACACTGAATCATGTCTCTACACAGAACAAGATACAGCATCCACTCACATCGCTATCGGGAACACACCTTTTGTAAATTCAGGAGGAGTATACTTACTTTACTAAAATGCTAATCCAATTTTAGCATCTGAACAATGCATTCTTGTAGTTTTACTTTATAGTACAAGCAAAATAAACATGCTTTCTCTTCCAGTCATATAAATCTTCAATGACATCACCACTTTTGAAAACTGTTAAAATGAAAAGCTTCCACCAGCAATTTGGATTTTTTTTTGCTCTTCTTTAAAGAGGATCAGAGTACAAGCAGCTGCTCTTAGTGTATCTTAAGTTCCAGAAAAATAAAATTCACGAGGAATACCTGGATGAACATTTCTATCCCCACCACTACCACCATACCCACCAAGCCCCAGTGTGGAGCCATTCTGGTTCTATGCTTCCACTTCCCTCCAGAAGGAAAGCCGACCATGGAGTAACTCCTTCCTGAGCCCAAGCTCTGTGACAGTCCTGTCTCACCGACGCCCTTGTCCCTAGTCAAGAGCACCAGTCACACTTATCCTAAGCCATTCCTGGGTCTCTGCTGAAGTCCTGGAGGCCAATGGCATATGCCATTCTCCAGCAGAAGGGTAATAAAAAAAAAAACTAGAGAAGGTGTGATCCGTGGAGGCTTCAGGGCTGTTCAAATACTACAGACCCCAGGTCAAATTAGCTACCTGGGGTCAGCCTCAGCCTCCTACACGCAAGTTTTCAGACAACAGACTTAGAGTCACGAACTAGTGTTAAGTATATTTTTCCATCCATTCAAAAAATTAATTCTCATGTGGCATTTGTAAAGCCAACCTAAACAGTTTACCAAATTAAGGCACATGCTTCATGAGATACTCGTGGTTCTGAAAATAAATATAACCAGAATGAAGTCCCCTGGAACTTACCAGACAAGAAACAAGAATCAGCATCCACTGCTTTCCAGGCCACACTGCCACACAAAGCCCAGAATGTTCTCAGACCCAGCCAAGGGCTGATCATACTTATTTAACCCAGTTCTTCCAACAAGTGGGCAAGAAGAGCCTCTTTGTAGTCCAGAAAACACCTTATTCTTGTGCATTTATAAGTATCTGCCACTCAAAGGGGTCCAGGAGCACCCATGGAATATGAGGCCACATCTGTGTCCACATACCCATTCTTGATAACCTGCAGCTAGACTTTGAAATGCTCTGACATAACCTCGCTCCACACATGGATGGCTAGGTATCTAACCAATGTTCCACATGGGAAAGAGGAGCAGAAAGGCTGGAAGGTGGCGTATGCCTTGAACCAAGGGAAGGCCAGCCATGTGCTAGAGTACAAGTATAACAGCCAGAAGCTACTTCTATGGCACAGAAGTGGAGAATATTTGAAATTCATTCCATAAACTACAAATTCAATTTAGAAATGCCATACTCCACCATTTTCTTTTCAAAAGGGTTTTTTGGTATATATATGATTTTTGTTTCATTTTTCTTTTTTTAGTAAGCTATTTTAGATCAACAATTCTATTATATAGTTGTGGTTTCTAACCAGTAATGCACAGGTATTTCTTAGCATATGAAAACTAACCACAACCAAGAAGGACTCTGTTATCCTATACCATGTGGTCATTCCAAAAGCAAGATCCATGCATCTGCCATCAGCTCATTTCTCTGTGGTTGGGCATCTCAGAGGTTGGTCACAATAAAGGAAAACAGCAAAAACTAAGCTGCAGGCTATTTGGAGCCTGCCCAGGCTGCCACTAGTTTCACAGTGCAGGACCTAAAGGGCATTTGTCACAGGAGGTTGTCAGTAAGTCTTGACTGATCAGCAGAATGTGGCATGGAACTATACTTGCAGAAACCATGGGCTGAAGAAAGAGCATTCTGAATCAGTGATAACTGAAACACAATACTTCCTCATTGTAATTAAGTGTTCAGCATTTTACATGGAGGATTAGCCCATCCTCTAGGAATTATCAAATGCCTGCACTGTGGGAAAGGAAACCCAACTAAATCCCTTAATTAACAGATCTGTTTTGATTCATTTAGCTAATTTGTATCTGTCACACAGCCAACTTAGCCTCTGAATGACTATGTCCCTCACATTCTCAGTGTTCAAGAATGACCTGACTACCACAGAAGATATGGGCAAAAACTAGGTTTAAGAAGTACTGCTCCAGGAGGCTGGAGAGATGGCTCAGAGGTTAAGAGCACTGACTGCTCTTCCAGAGGTCCTGAGTTCAATTCCCAGCAACCACCTAATGAGATCTGGCGCCCTCTTCTGGTCATACATGCTGTATACATAATAAATAAATAAATCTTAAAAAAAAAAAAAAAAAGAAGTACTGCTCCAATATTTAGAAGGCACCTTCTATCTCACCCAAACTAAGTTTACATCACTTAAAAATTACCTAAGTAAAAAACTGAACTACAATGAAATGGCACAGGCCTGTCATCCCAGCTACTTCAAAAGCTAAGGCATAGGACTGAAATTTCAAGGCCTATCATTCCTGGCTGCAGAGCAAATTCAAGGCCAGCCTAGACAACTTAATGAGATACTGTCTCAAAATAAAGAATGAAAAGAGGGCTGGGATATAGCTCAGTGGTAGAGAACTTGCCAAAGGCCCTAGGTCCAATGCCTAGTACCCTAAAAACGAAACAAACCAGGAAATGGTACCTTCGTGCTATAACCAACTGATTTCAAATTTTATATAAAACATTTGGAATTCTTAAGTAATAACTACTTCGAGGTCTGGTTCTCAGACCCCAGGCACACAGATACTCAGATAAGAAGAAGCATCTGTCAGCTTGCAATTCTTGGCTCTTCACAGGGGACAAAAAGACTAAATAAACCCTACAAGTTTATCATCCAAGCACCCCATATCAATAATGCTTCTATGGCATGAGCCAGATGGCTTAACACTTCTTGCTGAGCAAGGAGACAAGATCATGACTCTGAGTCCCACAGGGTAGAGGCCAGTACTGTCAGGACTAGTGGGCAATGAGTCTGAAGTGAGACACTGTAATGCTTGGTAGTCCTCCTAGCACCTCCATGTGAAACAATCACTTAATAATGATGCCACCTGTCTGCACACACTCTTTAGAAAACCACTGTGCCAGCACATGGCTCAGCAGGATCATTTACACTGCTAATAAGACAATGTGATCTACCTTTCCCAAAGAACAAGAAAGCCAAACGGTTCTGAACCATGACCTCTTCTGCAAAAGTAAAATCATAAGTTGGGGAATGTCCAGTCCTAGCACTGGAAAATGGAGATTCCTAGTGCTGCCCACCAGCACCATGATTATGGACATAGGCGGCTTTTAGTATGGCTGTGACACGGCTCAAAGTCTCTTCTAACAACACATCTTACTCAGAGATGCAGCCTCTACTTAGAGAACCTGAACTCCGACACATGTTTCTGATCCTCCTTAGGATACCAGTAACAAAGCAAAGGTGCCTAGCATGGTTCCTTTTCCTGAGTTCATTTCAATACAATCTGCTATTTCCCCAAATGTATGTCACACTCATCACATCACCAAGTCAGATTCAAAAGGGAAAATTCTATTCTTATGATAATCCAGACTCCCTGGATTATCAAGGTTATATTCCTTAGCGGTCTATACCAGGCCTAAGAAGCTGGTCAGACCAACCAGAGCTTGCACAGCTCCCACAGGAAAGGAGGGAGATCAGCCAGGCTCCTTGGGCTATTGCAGGCATGGTCCTTATGCAGCTTCCTTGAAAAAGGAATGATTGGTACCTTTCTACTCAGTTAGTGTTAAAACAGCCAGCTGTCCTAGCCTTGAGTCCAAATGGATGCCAAAACTTACACACAAGTGTTCACACTTCAAAACATACAACAGCCAAAAGCAGAAATGATCCAAATGCCTGTCAACCAACAATGTCACACCAGGGCAAGCCTGGAGCCTGAACCATGCAGCCCCTGTCATACAAAGGGGGGAACAGAGTACACAGCATGCAATCTTTGTCCTATGTGGGGAGAGCCAGGGTATGGGGACTACAGTCCCTGCCATATAAGGGAGAAGCACTGCTAATACAGCCCCTGTGTGTCTAAGGAAAAGACCAGGGCACAGGGAATGCAGCCCCTTTCCCTACAGAGGGAGGACAGGAACATTTATGGCCTGCAACCTGGATGGCATGACCCAGTCACATTCAGTGCTCACAGGAACTCCCATTCACACAAGAGGATCAGCAGCTAAAAGGGTTGGGGGGAGGGTGAGGAGGACTACTAAATGGTTTGAGGTTTCTTAGAGGAGATGATAAAAAAATTCTGCATTCAGATAGAGGTGACAATGTATAAACATGTGGATACACTAAATCAGCTTCTGTCACTGTAACAGAAACACAGTTTCTAAGATGGAAAGCTTTCAGAGGATTCAATTCACAATCACTGGGCCTGTGGTAGCCAGTTATCGTGGTGGAAACATGTGGCAGAAGAAGCTGCTCATCCCATGAAAGCTAGGACACCAAAGGAAAGGCAACATGGGGCTGGGACCCCACTCTCTCCTTCAGGACACACCCACAATGGCCCAACTCCTCCCCTAGGCCCACCCCCTGTAAGTTCTATTTCTGAGCAATAGAGCCCTGGGTGGGGATCAAGCTCTCAGTACAAGCATTTGGAAAGAGTCATATCTAAATTTTAGCAACTGCTAAAATATGTGCTGTAAAATGATCAACTGTGTGGTATCTAGCTTCATAGAAAATGTTGTCCTTACTCCTCTACCCCAACACTGCAATTTTAAAAGACTTATTATTTCTAGTATTTCAGATAAAGTAACAAAGAGTAAATCATTGTAAAGTAGAAAAAAAAAATGTGCTTACAGGAAAAAACCAATAATTTGGATATGGAAGCAAAGCCTCACACAGTTTCATGGGTAAACAAAGTATAAGCTTAGGATTCTCACACAGAGCTAAGTCTGTCAGAGTTCCTTCCTTTCTCTCCACATTACAGTCACTTAGAAGCCAAGTGCATACAAGGGCTCCAAGTGTCACAAAGTCTTTGAAATGCACATAGGCTGACCACAGGCCAAGGAATAGGCAAGTGGGCACGTCAGACTCATCAGGGAAGAAGAGCTTGTCCCACCATGAGGACCCCAAGAAATCCTGAGCAGGAGTCTAGGGAAGAAGACAGACCCCAGCACTGGCTCCTCCTGGCGCCTTACAGATCACCAAGAGGCAAACCAGCCCAAGGAGACTGTACTCCCTAAGCCTGGCAAAGCCTCTGGAAACCTGCAGAGAAATGCCAAGGACAGTGAGTGGCTAGCGGTACATGGTCATGAAAGCTATTCCTCCTCAGGAAGTAGGCCATCTAAGAAGGCAGCTCCACAAGTGACATGGAAGAAATCGGCTTCTGTGCAAGCAAGGGAAAGTGCCAACAGAACATGAGAAAGACACAGGCGCTGGAAGCCACTGTGGGATTCCCAGTTGCTTTAACTTTCTTCATCACTTCTGTATCACTCCTTAGCAACAATAAGCTACGTGTTCTTCCAAAATAACGGCACAAAGGCACAACTATGGCTGCGCTGACAAGCAGAGCAGCCCGGGTAACGTACCTTCAGAGTTCAGGGTGATGAGCGTGACGTTGCTTCCAATGTTCTGGCTTCCTGGCTGGCCACAGTTAGACACAGAGTCACTGGCCTCTGACCCGCTCTCCCCGTCTTCATTATGGCTGTCATCCTGGCCTGGCACCTTCACCACGATTGTGTTCTGCCGACGCCCAGGAACAGCGCTGGCGGGAAACAAACACAGCAGCCCACGCTGTGAGAGGGACATGAGTGGCACACTGAGACTAGCCCTGACTCACTGTGTTGTGTGGACTTATCCCAATGCCTAGGTGAGCACAGACCAACGCACAAAGTGGGTCCCCCAACATGCGGTGTGTCCCCACACGCACCCTCCATGGAGATGAGCTGCAACATAACACAGAGACAGCCTGAGGCCGAGAAGACACAGAATATAAAGCAACTGCTTAAAAAATATGAACAGCACAAAATAAATAAAACCATAACTCACTGAGACTCAGCCTAGAATCCTGCTTTCGGATCTCAGAGGTCATCCTAACCAGGCTGACCTGCACAGTGGTCATCGTGGGTTAGAGAGCCCCCATCCATCCATCATCCCTGCTGTCAGACACCCAAGATGACTCAGCCTCCAAAACACCTCCACACTCCCCAGGACTCCCAAAAACAAATCCTAGGAGCGGCTTCCAAGGCCATCAAGAACGCTAGGAGTCCCCTGGGAGCCATTCTTGGTACCGGGCCCTGAAGTGCAGCAGCAGCAGCCAACAGCTAGCAGCAGAAAGTACTCAAAAGAGACCCAAGACTGATTTGTCTTCTGAATGACCCTGTCAACATTTTGGACTGTGACCTATTACACACTACAGAGGAAACGAAGCTCTATTTCCCACCAGCAAAGTCACAGGGGGCTTAAAACTCTAGTCATCCCCAGAGGCAGGAGCCACACCAGGTCCTTCCTGGACTTGACCCCATACAACTATCCACAGTGAACTGGCTCCCCAACACTCCACACCCATGACTTCAGTGCAAGCCTGGAAACCCATCCTCTCCCCAGCAGCCTGGCTGGCCTCCAGCACCCCACATCACACCCCAGACCTGTTTCCTAGAGAACTGGACCAGGACAAGAAGCCAGAAAAAAACTGGAAAGAGCCACACCCCATGGAGAAAAAAAGGCATGACAGGAATCTGTGAGAACACTGCTGGTAACCAAAAGGTGACAAACCTCCTGAGGCACAGAGCCAGAGCCAATGGGCAGAGCTCAACACCAAGGGCCCCCACAGGGCATGGCCACCATACACTGTTATCTCTGACTAAAGTTCCATTCAACACATCTCAAAAGAAAAGGCATAAGAAACAAGCCACAAACTCACCACATCTACATCATTTACCAAACTCAGAAGAGGACCAACTGCAGGACAAATGACGGGAGGAGCAAGCTGAGCACGTGCAATACTCTGGCATCTTCACAGCAGACCCAGTCCAGAGTCCTCACAGATGCCACCCCTTCTGTTCTCTCACCCCCATCACTAAGCACCAGGCTGGCCCTCCCTGACCTGAGAACTGTGCTGGTGGCTAACAGAGTCAACCCTGTGATCACAGACATGGACATGGGTTCCGACGTGCCCTGGCTCAGAAATGCTCACTTATGACAGTGGCAGGGGAAGGTGGGGGGTGGTGGCTACTGACTTGCTAATGATATTTTCCAGGGAATCCGGTGCCCTGTTGCTCAATGGGTCTTCCATCTTGGCTACAATGGCGTTCTGCCGATCATTGTTGAGTATTACTGTAGTCTGGGGGACGACGCTATGGAACAAAAGAATCACAAGAAAAAGAAGACCTTAAAACAACAACATTCATTGTCAGAGCACATGGTCATTCAACATGGTCAGATCCGGGGCCTGCATCAAAGAGCAGGGGTCCAGTCAGGGACAAGTAAACTGGAGATTGGACTCTTCCGTTTCTTGCTGGTTAGTATTCTTGGTTGACACAAATGCATAATGTGGATGTCATGTGGATGTTTAACAGAATGGGTAGGACAGGCTAAGGCACTCTCCTGCCCTATGCACCTGCAAGCCATATCAGCAACAGGTTTACATGAAAATCAGCTTCCTTTTCTTTTTTCTTCCCTTGTGTGTAGGTGGTGTGTGTGTGTGTGTGTGTGTGTGTGTGTGTGTGTGTGTGTGTGTGTGTGTGTGTGTGTATACACACAACAGGTATGTGAGTTGCATGCAGAGGCCAGAGCAGGACATCAGGAATCTTCCTCTAATGCTCTCTGCCTTATTCTTTTGAAACAGGGTCTATCACTGAACAGCAAGCTGGTAAGCTAGTCTATTCAGCTAGGCTGGCAGGTCAGCAAGCTCAGAGATCTGCCTGCCCCCAACCCCGCAGTGCTGAGGTTACAAGATATGTACAGCCATGCCTGGCTTTGTACATAGGTGTTAAGGATTTAAACTCAAATCTTCATGCTTGTAGAAGCATGAGCTCTTACCCACTGAACCAGCCCCCAGCCTAGTTCAACCTCTTTCAACCGCATCCCTCCCAAACAATGACAAGGGATGAGCGTCTCACAGCTGCCCTTCTCAATGTTATTCTACAGCTGCACTCTAGAGTGGAGCAGGCAACCCCTGGGTAGCAAAGGGAAACATGCACACACGCCACCCGCAGCCCTCGGCAAAGTGCAGGACCGAAACAAGAGGCCCTGAGGCTTGGCTTTAAGAAAAAAAATTCTAGGAGAGAATGGAACATGGCAGCACGAGGGTGCAAATGAGCAGGACCGGCAGCTGGCTCTCAAGAGACTTTTTCACACTGCAGTCACAGTGTCAACTCTTAGCATTTCATGGCACAGAGTTGTCTGAAGTGTGTTCTGCTCTAAAGAGCCAGGACTGAAAAGAACTGCCACTTGATGCGGCCAGTTATATTACCTGAAAGCCCAGTGTCCTTGTCAGAGGAAAGGGTGCTCCATAGACATGAAAACCAGCCACCTGCCATGGTCACCGGCATCCCCACATACCGTTGTACCCACATCAGTAGGCACAACAGCAGCACCATGTAGTATCCAGCACATGCTCAGAACCAAAGCAGATTTTCCAAAATCCAAGTGTTAAGTACCTACATGCTATTCAATTTTGTTTCTCAGTCATTCTACTTATTCTCTGGTAGCACCTACAGTTGTCCACTAAACTATGATGAAGTATCCACAAGGGATCCAAAGTAACCCTGGAGATCTCTGGCTGCTGCTATGGTCCCGTGAAGCCTCCAGCATTCACACTTCTAAAATAAAATAAACCACGTGGGATCTGACACATATACACTTACACAAACAGTCATATGCACACAGAAGCCCCACTCACTCATGTTATGAAGTAATTAGAGGTTCACAGGGAGCACACAGAGGCTTGTAAACACTGCCCCCAGCTGTGAAACCTGTGTAGCCCACAGCCAAAGCAACAGCAGCAAATAACCCTGAAACAATGCAGAAGTAAAACTGAAGTCTCCTTCAGATGTCACCATTTCCCACATGTGCACCTGTGTGGCTCAGGGCAGTGTGGTCTCCTGCACAGGTCCAAATAATGTCCCTTTCACAGAAACAGAACTTGCTGACACCTCCTGGGATCTCTCTAGAGAACCATCTGTGTTTGATCTTCAAGAATGTTATGTAAATGGACTTGCAGGCCATCCACAGCAGCAGCTCAAAATTGTTGCTTATGGCTGAGGATTGCTCCACAGCATGACAATGTTAATCAGTCTTGCCCACTGAAAAGTAGTAAGAGTGTTTGTAGGTTTCTGCATGACCACAAACTCCTGTGCCTTGGTCATGAGCACAAATGGTCCTGAACACAACTACTACACCAAACAGGAAGGACACCCAGCTTCCAGAGACCTGGCCTTGCTGCTGCCCACCTGGGAGCTCCTGCCTCTCCACATCTAACAGGGCACAAGGTCCCCCTTTGCTCTGACTGGTATACCTGGTGGCCAAGAAGCTGAGGACTTGCAGGTACCCTCAGGCCAGTCTCCTCACAGTAACACAGTGGTTCATTTATTGCTGAGTTTAGAGCATTCTGGCTTCAGAACATCTTTACCTGTCTATGCTATTCTTTTCATGCTCTTCTCAGCTTTCCCAGGTCAACCTGCCTGCCTGCTTTCCCTCCTTCCTTCCTTCATCAAACTGAAGGATCCTTTGCCTAGTTCTAGGCCCCAAAGACCTCCTGTAACCTTAGAGCTTAGATATGACAGTAGACCTACAAGGGGGCTCCTGTCCAGGTCCACTTCTGCTCCAGTGCCAACTGCAGAAAAGATACACTGTGCACAGAGTGGCTTCTGCCCTTGTTACTACCTGGGCTGTCCCACAGTATGACTTTCTCTTTTCTCTATTCTGCTCCAGGAGCCAGCTGTCTACTCCCCCTTGGTTTGTTCTTTTTAAATTCTCTTTATGATCTCTACCCATTCTTTTACAATCTTGAATTAACTATTTATATGTCTACTCATAGCTGCTATTTTTTCTATTAAATAAAAACAGTGAAATAAAGGCTGAAGAGATGGCTTAGGAATTAAGAGCGCTGGCTGCTCTTGAGAGGACCTAGGATCAGTTTCCAGCATCCACATGGTGGGTAATAATCACCTATAACTCCAATTCCTGGAGGTTTGATGCCCTATCCTGGCCTCCATGGGTGCTACAGGCATGTGGTACACTTACAAACATGCAGGAAAAACACTCAGGGATGGAACAAAATAAGTCTTTTTATAAGACTTAATGAAAATCAAGAAAAAGGGAAATAGTATGACCCACAGACTGTTGGGACTTTTGGAGGTGGGATTTGGTCTAAGACAGCATCTTGCTATGTATCCAAGGTGAGCCTCAAACTCTCAAGCCTCCACTCCCCAGCCTCCACCTCCCAAACACTGGAATTGCAGGCAAGTACAGTCACTCATGGCCTGACTGTTCGATTCTCAAGTGATGTTAATTTGTAACGGAGATTACACAAGCTGAATAGTCTTGCCTTCACATAACATTATTCAGTAGTCAGCAGCTGTGAGACAGGTTGTGAACAAGTCCCTCTCCCCTACTGTGGTCAGGGGAGTGTCAACAATCAGTGTCTGGCATGCCTTCTGGGGTCTAGAAAGATGACAAGCATTGACTGCAAAGGCTTCAAGAGAAGAGTATTGCTCATTCCTAGTACTGTGAGACAAAACCCCAAGGTGCCTTCCACATAGACAGCATGAGATGGGACACTGAGTAAAACAAACACACACAAACACACACAAACACACACACACACACACACACACAGCACGAAATGGGGCACCACAGTGCCTTACACTTACACACAAACTTACACAAGCAAACACACACACAGTATGAGATGGAGCACTGTGGTATCTTCCATAGATGCTACAACCCAAAACAGAGACAGGGCAGGGCACCTTAGTGCCTCTGCCACAGACAGCAAGCAGCTCAAAGACAACTCACCTGCCTGAGACCACAGAGTTGGCAAGGCACAAGTCAGATAGGAACCCAACACTCTCTTATAACAGCAACTTTCTAAAACAAAATAAGAAGCTAAGTTTACACTACTTCTCACAAATCAGAATTTTCTGAGAGAGGAAGCCAGAGTCCCAGTAAGAGAACCTAAGACCTATTTTTATTTTTACAATTTCCCTGGGTAATTCTCATGAGACCTCTGGCTTAAAACCAAAACAAGACAAAAACTATACAACAACCTGCAAGTTACACACCCCCCAGGACACACCCCGGAGATGCAGCTCTGCTGGATCGCCTCCTTTCACACCTGTTCCTTTCCTGATACAGTGCCCACTCAGCACCTCTGGTTTATGGTGGTGTCCCCTGCACAGGGGTCTTCTGTCTACTTTGTGCAAGAATGCACTGCCAGCACCTCAAGACCTCAAGCCACAATCAAAGTCTGCTCGTTTCAGGCCCACATGAATTCAAGACTGGGCTCATACTGAGCCAAGTGTCTTGGGGTTCTGAGGTCTTCATGCTGCTAGCCAACACCCCAAGAAAGACAGGAAGCTGGAGCATCAGAGCCTGCATGCAGTACTAAGCACACAACAAGCAGAGGATGTCCAGAGCCGCTTCACCCACCAGTCAGAAGTCAACCTCAAGCACTGCAGATGAAGGAGATTTGAAATCCAGTGGGTGTCCTGGGGTGTGGCCAGCATGCCAGTGGGCACTTAGTGAACAACAAGTAACGGGATTTTTTACAGCTCGGGGTCACCAAGGCCTGCAGAACCCTGAGCACTGGCCATGAATCACCCCAGTCACAGCACTCCAGCCTTCCTCTTTATCCCCATCTTTTGATGGAGACACTAATGTCAGAAAAGTCTCCCACTAAGCCAATTACAACGGCTTGTATGTGTAATCCCAGACTGGCGAGACTAAGCAGAAGACTGATGTGAGTTGAGGCCTCCTGAATGAGAAATACTGATCCAGATGGCAGCACTGGCAAATTTCTATCTTTAATACTTATAATGCACGGTACTAGTAGTATGACATCAGAATAAAGGGTATGTTGGAAAGGGTAGGGGACAGATCTTCTGAAGATGAACCAGAACTAGCCCTATGAAGCATCTTCAGAAAACAAAAATCAGGAGTGAGGCAAACACAGGACAGAACATATGGAAATGAGCACACAGCAGACGCAGTAAAGGCAGAGAAATCCAAGAGGAGAAGGAAAACTCCAGTCAACAGGGTCTTGTTACAGAGGCCAGGTTAGCCTCCGATTCATAGCATCCTCTAGCCTCAGCCTACTAAATGTTGGGATTAAAACTGTGCACCATGAGAGGAA